AGTCAGAGACAGAGTGAGTCAGAGTTAGAGTCAGAGACAGAGACAGAGTCAGAGACAGAGACCGAGTCAGAGAGAGAGAGTCAGAGACAGAGTCAGAGACAGAGTCAGAGTAAGAGACAGAGACAGAGAGACAGAGTCAGAGAGAGTCAGAGTCAGAGTCAGAGACAGAGTCAGAGAGAGTCAGAGTCAGAGACAGAGTCAGAGACAGAGACAGAGACAGGGACAGAGTCAGAGACAGAGAGAGTCAGAGTCAGAGACAGAGTCAGAGAGAGTCAGAGTCAGAGACAGAGTCAGAGAGAGTCAGAGACAGAGACAGAGTCAGAGACAGAGTCAGAGAGAGTCAGAGTCAGAGTCAGAGACAGAGACAGAGACAGAGTGAGTCAGAGTCAGAGACAGAGACAGAGTCAGAGACAGAGTCAGAGTCAGAGAGAGTCAGAGAGACAGAGTCAGAGAGTCAGAGTCAGAGACAGAGTCAGAGACAGAGTCGGAGACAGAGACAGAGTCAGAGTCTCTGACACCTGTCTCTGACAGAGTCAGAGTCAGAGACAGAGACAGGTGTCAGAGACAGGTGTCAGAGTCAGAGACAGAGTCAGAGACAGAGACAGATTCAGAGTCAGAGACAGAGTCAGAGTCAGAGTCAGAGACAGGTGTCAGAGACAGAGACAGAGTCAGAGACAGAGACAGAGTCAGAGACAGAGAGTCAGAGACAGAGGCAGAGACAGCGTCAGCATTTATTTATAATTTGTCTTAAATCTCATTTTGTAAAAAAAAAAAAAAAAAAAATCGTGAATCGAATCGTGAGTTGAGTGAATCGTTACATCCCTAATCATTTAGTTACAAAATAAACATTAGTGTAATCAGTTACAGTTACTGAGAAAAATTGTGTCATTAGATTACAGTTACTTATGAAAATGTTAACGATTACAAACGGGGTTACATCTGAACATTTTCACACACGTACAGATCTGATTGATTTCTTTCATAAATTGCAGGGCTTGCTTTAAAATACGAGACAGCAATGTTTCAGGAGTTTAGGACACATGCTTATTTAATAACTGTTTTATTTCCTATTTGTGTTTATGTGTTTGCTTTATTTTTTAAAGATTAACAGTTTTTTTCCGAGGCATTGTTAGATGCCAGTGTTTTCTGTCGTAGCTGTGCAAAGATTTGATTTCAAAACCAGTATCACAGCTATTAAACCATTTCTTGTTATGATGTTAAATCAGTATTTAACCTCAGAATAATCTTAAAGTAAGGCTGATTTTGTGGTGGCTGTGCTTTAAAATTAAATTAAATTATTATAATCTGAATTCACGTGATGAAGGATTCTGACAGTAATCAGTGTTGAGTTCTTCTGTAACAAAACTTGTAGAATTTGCAATAATTTGTCTATGCCTGGAAATCGCAGTTTTCTCAATAATATTGCTAATAATTCCAGGTTTAACCTTTATATAAGGTAATTTTTTCTTTATTACAAATTATTCTTGTTGCGAGTCACAGAAGCATTATTGTTCTGATGATACTCGCTTCTCTTCAGTATTAAATATCATACCGCATTTAAACACTGTATGACATATTTTAACTGTAAGAAATGTAACATAATTATGATTGATGTAATGACTGAACTCTGAGGATGAATGTGCTGGTTTGATTAACTTACTTCCGCAGCGCTTTATTCGCGATTCAATATATTTCACACTAGACCCAGTTATTGAGAGAATACCGCGGACACGCGAGCTGCTCTTTCATCTGCTGACACTGATGAAGAAATTATTACTTACGTAAAAAACGGAGGAAAGTTGTACTGCCAGGGCCACTCAAAACTCATCGCAGGTCTGTACTACTTCCGTTGCGGGAATCTGCTTCCGCTCTGCTGGAATCATGGGAAACACCCGCCAAATTAAAAGTCTTTTGATCGACTTTGAGCCCCCAAATGAAAATGTTACAAAAACATTTGCTGTTTGTTTTGTTAGATTTAGATGTAGCTTCACCCGACATATATTAAAAACTAGCAACTGTAAGTGTCTTATATTAAAATGATATTCATAAACCTTTTTAAATTTCCTTTTACATGTCAGTATTTCATAAAACATTTCATTCATGATCTATTTTGTAAGAACGTTTTGCTAAGAACATTCATACATGTTTCAATTTTTAAAAAGTTTTTTCTTGATGATGTGAATGTTAAAGACAACAATAAAAAACGTTCTATTTTATTGTTTCGCAAGCACAGTTACTTTTGAATGTTCTCTAAAGCATCTTAAACGAACTTCCAACTAAAATGTTTCAGAAAAAGTTAAACAATGTACAAATAATGCTTTTGCTGGTTTGATTAACTTACTTCCGCAGCGCTTTGTTCGCGATTCAAAGCAATATATTTCACACTAGACCCAGTTATTGAGAGAATATCGCGGACACGCGAGCTGCTCTTTCATCTGCTGACACTGATGAAGAAATTATTACTTACGTAAAAAACGGAGGAAAGTTGTACTGCCAGGGCCACTCAAAACTCATCGCAGGTCTGTACTACTTCCGTTGCGGGAATCTGCTTCCGCTCTGCTGGAATCATGGGAAACACCCGCCAAATTAAAAGTCTTTTGAGCGACTTTGAGCCCCCAAATGAAAATGTTACAAAAACATTTGCTGTTTGTTTTGTTAGATTTAGATGTAGCTTCACCCGACATATATTAAAAACTAGCAACTGTAAGTGTCTTATATTAAAATGATATTCATAAACCTTTTTAAATTTCCTTTTACATGTCAGTATTTCATAAAACATTTCATTCATGATCTATTTTGTAAGAACGTTTTGCTAAGAACATTCATACATGTTTCAATTTTTAAAAAGTTTTTTCTTGATGATGTGAATGTTAAAGACAACAATAAAAAACGTTCTATTTTATTGTTTCGCAAGCACAGTTACTTTTGAATGTTCTCTAAAGCATCTTAAACGAACTTCCAACTAAAATGTTTCAGAAAAAGTTAAACAATGTACAAATAATGCTTTTGTGCTAACGTTTTGAGAACGTTTGCTGTTGGGAATGCTTGTTCATAACGTCGACAGAACCTTGCCAAAACGTTAGCCAAAGTTCTGAGAACGTTCCCTGTTGGGTCAACACCCTAGCAACCGCTCAGAACACCATAGCAACTGCCTAGTTTTGCCTCGGAAAGCGCCACTCGCTGCTTCTTCTTCATGGGGTTGTGTGCAGGGTTACCAGGTTTTCACTACAAAACCTGCACAATTGCTACTCAAAACTAGCCCAATCGTGTTTCGAGGGGGTCCCCTGATAAAAAAAAATTGCGTTCCGGGGGGTAAAATACTATTTTTTTGGTGGGGACTAAATATCACGTTATTGGGGTCGCTTAAATCCGCAGACATGAATAACAACCCGTGGCAACAGAGTTGAAAGGGGTCATGAACTGAGAAACCAAAATTCCCTTGATCCTTTGACATATAAGAGGTCATTGTACAATTAAAACATCCTGTAAGTTTCAGAACTCAAAACTTTGTCAATAGTATAAAAACAGCTTATATTGAAGGCAGTCTGCCATTTTAAAAGGACAGCTTTAGGAATGTTCTACTCTATGATGTAATAGTGTGGATAAACCCCGCCCCCGCAGAAGATGATCAACACCTGCTTCTACATCACTGCACGTTTAGCCCCGCCCACCGATTCTACATCGCTGCATGTTTAGCCCCGCCCCGCTGTTCAGTGCCAAGCTGTGGAGAAACAGTGTTTGCATTGCTTTGCTTCTGATCCCAATGTTAGGAAAGACTGAATTAACTTTATTTTTAATGAACATCCAGATCACATTAGTAAGAACTCTGTCTTTCGTTCACTTCATTTTACTGAGGTTTGTTTACAAACAAAACACAATTTGTTGAAAACAAAAACAAAAGATTGAATCTAAAAGACAATACTGAGGCTATATTGGATCTGTCGCAACACAAGGGTGAGTAACTGCTTTCATTACATGATCACTATTGCTTTGACTGTTAAACAGATGGTTTGATATGAGTATTTATGCATTTTTGACCTAAATCTCAGCAGCGTCCATCTGTGAAGGATGTAGCTGTCAAACACACACAACTATTAGCCAATCACAGCAGGGGGCGTTTACTTCCGAGTCTACAATTCTAAAACAGGAGAGAAAATAGCCTATTACTGATGTAAAAATATTGATAACATTATAAGTGGACCTCAGAGAATAGTACAAAATAAAATAAAACAAAGGCAGTTCATGACCACTTTAAAGTATTCCGCGGGAAAACACTGGGTGTGTGTCTGTCATTCGAGCGCGCGGTGGCGCTGTGGGCGGATCCGCTCATCCGGGTCCTGAGACGAGTGACGTCAGAGCGCCGAGATAAACAACAGCGCTCAATGAGCGTAATAACGAAGACAGTATTATTCACTGAAATTATAATCGCACACTGATGCTTCTTATTATTCCGCGCAGTTGTTTAGAAGAGTAGTGGGAAAACAGCTGTAAGTTTGCCTCCTCCTCCCCTTCATTTCTGTGCAATATTAATAATCATATTGAATGTTTCTGAATGATGCTCAGCGAACCGCAACTGTTCTGGAACTGATGTACACTACATGGACAAAAGTATTGGCAGCCTTCTAATGAACAGGTTTGACTACTTTAGTCATTTCCATGAGTGCAGATCTTAATGTTTAAGCATATGATGCTATTCTAGGGAATTGCGTGCTTCTAATTTTACAGCAACAGTTTGGACAGAACTCTTTTCTATTCTAACACAACAACGCCTCTGTGTACAAGACTAGGTTCAGAAAGAAATGATTGATTGAGTCAGTGTGGAAGAACTTTAAATGCAGATCTCGAGCCAAAAACTAATCACCAAACACTGATGTCTTGTACATATGGGTGCATTCATTTTAGACACTTCCAAAACTGTTGCAGCAGAGATGGAAATACAATTTTTAAATACATGAATTATGTTGCCACAGTTTTGGAAGTGCCTTTTTCTGTTCTAAAGAAGGGGGTGTCCCAATACTTTTGTCCATATATACATGTCACTGGTGTTTGGCTCGAGATCTGCATTTAAAGTTCTTCCACACTGACTCAATCAATCATTTCTTTCTGAACCTAGTCTTGTACACAGAGGCGTTGTTGTGTTAGAATAGAAAAGAGTTCTGTCCAAACTGTTGCTGTAAAATTAGAAGCACGCAATTCCCTAGAATAGCATCATATGCTTAAACATTAAGATCTGCACTCATGGAAATGACTAAAGTAGTCAAACCTGTTCATTAGAAGGGTGCCAATACTTTTGTCCATGTAGTGCATGTAGAAGTCAGTAGTTTGAGCTCTGTTCCCCGCAGGAGAGGCGATGCAGGAGGCGCTGGGAGTCAGTGAGGAGGAGAAAACTGCGGGAAAACTGGAAGAAAAGGAGACAGAAAGAAGCGAGGAGATGCATGAAGATGCTACAGCAGAGGACGACACAAGTACGCACTCCACACCTGTCTGTGACAGAACATGTAGTTAATTAATATTACTCAGTACTTTAATGTATAATTACACTGTAACAAGGACACCTTAAAATAAAGTGCAACCCATTTATTTAGTAATTAAATGACGTGATTCCGTTACATGTAACCAGTTACTCCCCCACTCTGAATGTGTCCGATGCAGAAGGAGAGGAAGGCTGCGTGGAGGAGGATGGAGAGATGAGCGGAGACTGGGAGATCCCATACAGTGACGAGGAGATGGAGGAGCCCAGGAGCTGGATGCCTCCGCCCCACGAGATCAAGCGGCTCTACCAGATCCTGGCTAAAGGAGAACCGCTGGAGCTGAAGTGGGAGCCGCTTCCACGCCGACCTCCGACCCCTGCACGCACGCCCTCGCCTGAGAGAGACGGAGACGCCTCGCAGGAGCCCCAGGAGGACCAGCGCAAGTCAGTCAGATATACGCTGATATATATCCAACATTCAGCATTCTTCATGTTTCTCAAAGTCTCTTCTGCTCACGGAGGATGCATTTATTTGATCAAAAATACAGTCAAAACAGTGAAATATTATTAGAATGTAAAACAGCTGTTTTCTATGTGAATATCTGTTAAACTGTAATTTTTTGTAATTACAGTTTAACAGATATTCACACAGAAAACAGCTGCTTTAGATTGTAATAATATTTCATTTTTTAACTGTATTTGTGATCAAATAAATGCAGCCGTGGTGAACAGAAGAGACTTAAAATTGTAACTCTATAATTACGTATATAAACCCCGTTTGTGTGCATATATTGTACATTGTTACATTAAATGATAATGTGATGTAAATATGTATTGGTTATTGATACGCTCTGCAGGGCTCTCACTCCAACTGAATTTGATTTCGATGAGGAACAGACGGTGACTCCCAAGAACTCTTTTCTGAGCCGCCGCAGGACTCCAGGTATAACGCGGCTGTTCTCCGCAGATGTGTGCCGATCTGGTGAGTGATGCTGAGCTGTGTTCTGCAGGATCCTCGGCCCGCTCTGCGGTCAGGCGCGAGGCCCGGCTGGACAAGGTGCTGTCGGACATGAAGCGGCACAGGAGGATGGAGGAGCAGATTCTGCGCACGGGTCGAGATCTGTTCAAGAGCGGTAAAGAGCGGCCCGCCGGCGCGGAGAAGCCCTCATCACCCGAGAGCCAGCGCGAGCGAGACCGAGACCCCAGCACCGTCTTCAGTCCCCAGCAGAGGAGATACTGACCAGCACACCCCAAATCATCACTGTTCGTTTCACATCAGACACTGATATACTGATGCTGTCTTTTTTATTCAGGTGTTTTTCTATGTGAATAAATAAGTGTATTGCCTAGCTGCTGGTTCCTGCTGTTTTATAAATGATACTAAGCTCTTAAGAATTGTAGGAAAAGTTTCATGTGATTATAATAAAACCAATTGAACCCTAAAAGGGGCGATGTATCCTGGAGGACACAAACATTTGAGAAGCTGTGGAGAGAAGCAGGGAAAGTGTAGGTCTCATTTCTTGGTTTCATGTTGAAAGGTTGTGAATATTTAGATGAGGTGAGTTAGTTTCTACATTCTGTGTTTGGCTCACAGGCAGCATTTAAACCTGCACGGCCGCCTGTCGTGGGAAAAACGTTGATCTAGTTCATATTTACACATGTTGGAGGGGACTTACCTGTTTAAAAAGCTGTTGTTCAGCATTAGCTTATTAGGTTTACATTGAAATTTTATGAATTAAATGCTTACATTTTTTGTAATCTGTCTCTAAACGTTTGTATCTCAGGGGACATGTCGCTCTTTTATGGGTATAAATCAAGATATAAAAACATATATATATATAGACTCTGAGATTTTGTGGCTTGTGTTTTAGAAAAACACATTTTTGTAGTTCTTTTTGTAATCTTGACAAAACACATATCGTTGGAAAGGTCTGACAGTCAAGGTTCCATATTTGGTGACTGTTTTGTAATAGAAGTGATATTGTGACAGAAAATGATAGATTTGTGACAGAAAACTGCATCAAATAATTCAAAAGAGTTGGTGATTTTTGGTATAGCGCCCAAACTAAATCTCACAGGAACCATAATTTTTGTGATATCAACTTAAAATTTGGAACATAACTTGGTTAGACATATGGCTTTGATTTTATAGCCATTTTAAAGTGCAGCATATTTTATATATGTTATATATAAATATAAAATAGAGTATTACATTATCTTCACTGTAAACTTAAAATTCTATAACTTTTTTATATTTTATTTAATTTTGAAATGCTTTCACTTCAGCAATAATCTGCTTTGTGTCTTCTTTAAAAAGAGACCAACCGTAGATCTGTATTCCAGAGCGTTCAGGAACTACATCCATGTTGTAACCAGAAAACAAGTTTCAAATGAAAGGGGTTTTGACAGACCTCTATTATTGTGCAAAACAAAGGATGGAACCTGTATCCCGTCATCTTCATCATCATCATCATCACACTAACGCATGCTAGCATGCTTCTCCTCAGCGCTCTTCACTGAAGCAGCTGTAAGCGGAACATGAGCAGCATGCATTGCTTCGAGCCTCTTCTGCATCTCGTCAGAAGTGCGCAGTGCGCTGTCATGCATTCACTCGGCGGACATGGCGCTTGGCGTTTAATCGCAGCGTCGCGTGGATCTCTGCTTGATGGAGCTACTGTCGATCACTCCGCTCACAGACGCGCCTCGCCTCGAACCTCCCGCTCCCAGCTCTGCGCCGGTGCTGTGGCTCAGCGGAGCGGAGAGCGCGTCGCTCGGGAGAACACGGTAGTGTGAGCTGCTGATGGTTTGTTAGAGGATTCGGGAAATCTTTGGGGGAAATGAATAAAAACGTGTAATCATACGGGCTGTTATTTCATTAAACGCTGTCTAAAGTCTACACAAGATTTGTGCGCTTGTGTGTTCACGCATTAAATGTTCTGGAATAAAGGTCTGAGTAATGCGTGATGATGTGGATGTTCATGACATGATGCTGCTTTTCTGGAGAAAATGTTGAGAAGCTTTGAATTTGATAACGCGAGTCTGAATGCACAGGAAGCCGAATAGGTTGTGCAAATATAAGCTTTTATGGAAAGCTGTTTGTAGTTATGGTCATGATAGCATGTGTTGTGAAAAAGAAAACAGGATAGAAATTCACACTCAGCTATGAACTTAGTTTAATTTTATTTATGTATTATATGTAAAATAGAGAAATCATGGGTTGCTATGAAATGTTTGTTTCTGAAATGAAACATTTTGTTCAAATGCATACCTTGATGGAGAAATGTCTATAAAATGTTTGATGGTAATGATATCTGATGCCAGTATTGGGGACAGCAATGTGCTATTAAATTATTATTATTATTTATTTACACAAATGCCAAATTATTTTAGACTTCGAACATCAAAAATAAAATTTGCCAAATGTATTTTTCAAAAACTTTGCTATAAATCTAAATGCATATAATAAAATAAATGATGGATTCTGAATTTAAATTCTCAAATACTATCCAAATAGAGACTTTTTTTTAAATTAAATGCTTGATGTGTTGCAAAGACATTATTAATAAAATACAAATTCTACACTTAAATACCAAATTAATATTAAGGATTTTTCCTATGATGCTTTTAGAGAAACTAAAATACAGAAATTACAGTAAATTCAACATGGATACCAGTGAAAAGGCACTCAGAAAATGCAGGGAAACTAAGGCCAATCACAGTTTATATGCAAACACATGTAACCAACTGCAATTCAGTATGCATACCGTAAAAAATCATTTTTAATGCTTAATATTCAACATAAGAGTAAGATTGGAACCCAACTCCAGCAGTGGTCCGGGCTAATCTAACAGCACACGGTTATGTGTAACACTGACTGTAATTTATGGCTTGGATGAATCATAGCACAAATATTGAGATCCGTACAGATATGAACACATTACTGATGGATTCATCTTCAGGAGGATGAGTGATTACCATCTCAGATCAAACACACGCCACGATTACGCCAGTTCCTTTTAATAGTCAAAATTACAAAATGATAACATGATCTACATCATCTACAAAATAATAACAATATCTATGATCATGGTAAGCATCAACATTTTGTTTTGCTCCGTTTATAGACATGCATACTGCTAAATATAAAAATATAAATACATCCCGTTATTATTTTACTGGTTCATGGACTATAATTTAAAATAGTTGTAGTGTTTGATGAATTAAATGCGGTATACAGTAAGGCATTGCCAGAGCTGTACAGAGATGGAGGTATTATTATTTCAGCTTAATGCTAAATTAAAAGGAAGAACCCAACTAGTATCCGAAGCTTATAACAACTAGGTTTCTACACAGGAAGAACAAATCTCACATTAACATGAAGCTCACGAGTACCAACACTAAACCGCCCGAAGCAACCAGTCCAGGACTAAACTCCTTCAGCTTTAACCCTCGAGCTGGAAGAGTGAGATGTGCTTGTGATCCAGCCCTTCTTTAAACACACCCTTCACACATTCACAACAGCATAAACTAAACAAGAGTCTTAGTGGAAGCCGTAACAGCAGCTCTTGCTTCCCTCTGCTCAGAAAAGCATCATGTCAAGTACTGTGCGCTGTTAGGCCTGAGATCCAGTCTTCAGTGTGCTCCTCGGATTTGGATTTCCACAAGCGGTCATTATGAGCGCAGTTAAACAGACTCAAACTCAAGAGTACCGTACAGACAGGACTGAATCTACCTTTTCAATCAGCATAAATTAACCCCTCAACTGTCACCGTCCCACCTGTGGGACGCTTGTCGCTCTTTTTGTTGTTGTCCTTTTTCTCTATCAAATCTTTTAGTAATCATCATAAATCATACGAAAGCTTAGAAGCCCAAGATTCATCCTGTGAAAACCATTTTGAAATCGGACATTGCGTTACCATAGAAATGGTACTTTAAAATGTTTTGGCGGTCTCCTCCCCTTAGTGGGCGGAGTCAAGTGTCATATTACAACATGCATTACGCTCTTTTAGAATCAAACCTTTTTATAATCTTGACATACAACATATCACTGGAAAGGTCTGAGTCTCAGGATTCCATATTTTGAGATAGAAGTAATATTGACAGAGAAATCTAGACATTTGTGATAGAAAAAATGCATTAAAAAAATTAAAGTTTGGCTGGCACCCGGTGGCTGTTTGTGGTATAATGCCCTAAATACAATCTCACAGGAACCTCCATTTTTTTCATATCAACTTCAAATTTGGAACATAACTTATTTAGACATAAGGCTTTAATTTTATACCAATTTTAGAGTGAAACCTGTTATCTAAAATATTTATTATATATAAAATAAAATTAATATAGTGCATTTTCTTTACAGTAAATTTAAACCTTTTTGACACTTAAATCTTTTGAAAAAATTATTTTGCATAATCTACCGATTTTCTTCTTTAAAAAGAGACCAACCTTAGGTCTGTATTCCAAAGTGTTCATAAATTACAACAATTTTAGTTTGGATAGTGCACCTGCATGCTTATTTAAAAAAATGGGGGGTGACAGTTAAAGGGTTAAAGGCAGTGCAAAAGCACTGTATACCGTTACTTTTATACCAATTTTAGAGTAAAACCTGTTATGCAAAATATTTATTATATATAAAATAAAATTAATATAGTGCATTTTCTTTACAGTAAATTTAAACCTTTTTGACACTTAAATCTTTTGAAAAAATTATTTTGCATAATCTACCGATTTTCTTCTTTAAAAAGAGACCAACCTTAGGTCTGTATTCCAAAGTGTTCATAAATTACAACAATTTTAGTTTGGATAGTGCACCTGCATGCTTATTTAAAAAAATGGGGGGTGACAGTTAAAGGGTTAAAGGCAGTGCAAAAGCACTGTATACCGTTCACAAGTTTAGGGTCAGTAAGATGATCTGCTTTTCTTTTTTGCAGGAAATACATTTTAATTTGAATAATTTTTAAATCTGTAGTTCCTTTTGCAGAAGAACTAATGTTAATAAATCATCTCTCCTTTCAGCTCTTAACTTCTCTCTTTCATCTAATGCAACCTGTCATCTTCAGCCTTCAGCTCTTTGTCTTTCATCACCAGATCTATGATGACTTATGAATGGATCTTAACGCCAGAGGACTGTGATATTACAGGCAGAGGATATACAGTAGCAATACACAATCACAGTATCATCAGAGTCCCGCTGCCATGAAACAGAGCAGAAGAAGAGGAGAAACAGTGGATCCAGCATGGCTATTTTGTCCTAAAAGCGTTAAAGCAATAGTTCACCCGGCATTAACTCACCCACAAGATTTTCTTTGTTCTGTGGGACAATTTAGCAGAATGTCAGAGCTAAACGAAAATGAACGAGAAACCTAAGAAAGTCAAACTCCAAAAAGGAAGAAAGCTCCATTTGTGACAGCAGTCTGAATGAAGAGGAGTGAATGATTTGTTTTTGGGAAAACACTGCCCTCTAAGTTTCTTCTGCAGCGTTATGCCCTGATCCTTCAGCTTCAGAAGACCGAACCGCCAGAAACTGCACAGATGAACTCTCTGAGGTCAAGGTAAAGCGGCGTTATGTGCATCACTGAGAGGTGTTCTTTCGATGCGCATCGTGCTACAGTACTTCTCATCATATATGCGTGTGTGTGCGTCAGTGTTGGGCTCGTCACTCACAAAAATTAATATATTACTCATTACTAGTTACTTTCAAAAGTAATATTCTTACATATTATTTTCTGGCAACAGTAATTAGTTACACCACTCTTCTTTCACGCTCCACAGAAGTTGCATATCTTCCCCATAAAATGTAACTAACAATTAATAATAATAATAAAAAGTAATATTATTACTGCAACTAGTTACTGCCCAGCACTGGTGTGCATGTGATAAAACTGAAGGATTCCACTCAGAATGCCTGTCTTCAGTTTGTCCTTGGCGTGTTTAGTGTACTAGGGAGTATAATAGTGTACTAGGGAGTATACTGTCTGTTTGGGTCATGTGTGTGTGAGTACAGTCGCTAGCTCTGCGGCATGATGCTGGAGCAGTCGGTCACCAGCAGGTCCAGCACCGTGTTCCCGCTCACGAACACCGCGGGGGCCGACACCATGCTGCAGAGCGTGACGGTGCTGCTCTCGCTGCTGCTGCTGGGGCCGCCGGGGCCCGGCTCGCTGCCGGGGGGGTTGTGGGTCCCCATGTGGCCCTGCAGCTGCGTGGGGGTCTTGCAGTGAACGCCGCACAGCTGGCAGACGAGCACGGCCCCGGGGCCCAAGCCGCTCTCCTTCCACTCCTGCCCATGGTGCTTCTGCGCGTGAACCCGCAGGTACGTCAGCGTGGTGAAACCTGCAGAGCGGTTCATTGGCTGATCACTGACATCACTGCAGAATGAGTCGTTAATGATAATTACAGCAGACAAGATGACTGTAAGTCATTTACATTAGCTTTTGTTTATGCAGTTAAAGAGAATTGTTGAAATACTACATCACAGCAAATTGAACATGAGACCACAACGACCTCAATCATCGACAGACAAATAAATACAGACAGATAGACAGATAGATAGATAGATAGAAGGGATGCCACAATTCTCAATATAATATTGAACTGTTCAATACAGCATCCATGGATCAATACACACTTGTGAATTGCATTTTTTTTGGTTCAGTTTTGCATTTAAATTATTAAATTTAAATTAATATGTTTTATTTCTATCCGAATTGGCTGTTTGTATGTGCCCACTTATAACGAGCATTTGAAAAAGTAACGCATGTCAAACATCCTCTCTTGTCGTGACTTGTAACGAGAAGCGTTTCTAAACCCGTTGTCCAACAAATCAGAACATGTTTTTATTCCACAGCATCAGTCGAGTGTTTGAAATAACTTCCTCTTGTGAAGCGTTTATTGTCTTCATGCTTCATTCAAAACATCTCTATATGCTTTTTATTCAGTTACAGCAGTAGCTAGATGCCTTTGTCTGTATTAGGGATTTCCTGGGGCGTCATGAGTTCTATTATTTATAGAACTCATGTATCTATAAAGAGATGGGACAAATCTTCAGCGTCTGCTAAATTAATAAATGTAAATGTTTTATCAGCAATCGAGTCACAGTTAAACTTTAAAGACTTAACGATGCACGTGCATGATGGAGCGCATCAGAAAGAAGCGCAATATTTACTGAAATATGTATTTTAATACATATTATATTTCTTGTCAGACTTCAAATTTACGCTGAGTTTTATTTAATGAGTCCCTTACATTTACAGGAAAAATAAATGACAGTAACATGTTAATATGTTCATGAACATTCTACCTCTGACCAGCTGACACTTATTTTGTGCTTTTTTTTAATTTTTATTACTTATAATTATATTTTTTCTAGTAATTAAAAAAAACTTAAGGCAAACTTCTCAATTTTTTATCTATTATTATTATTGTCATTGTAAGTAAATAGTAGAGTATTCTCGTGGAAATTTCTAATAAAGCAATAAGCCCCGTGAAGCCGTGGTTTACAGTGAATTTATAACAGCTAAGAGGCGAAGCGGAGTGCCTAAAACCCCCTTAGCTGTTATAAATTCACTGTAAACCACGGCTTCACGGGGATTATTGCTTTTATAAAACGGTTATTCCATATACGTAGTTAGGTTTCACAAAATAAAACAGAGCAAATAAAGTGTAATGATATTAATAAAAACAGTATTCTTCCACCAAACAATGTAGCTCCTCAGAAACAGTTGTGGTTGCTACAAAGTGGTTGCCGAGCAACACACAAACGTAAACAAAGGTGTATGTTACTTTGTAGAGTCATTTACAACAGCTTCGAACGTGGCTCAGCCAATCAGAATCAAGCACCGGAACGATCTGTTTTATAATAGCACATTAAGAATACTCCCTCTTACCCAAACCGTGACCCCAAAATCGTAATACGTACCAAACCATAAGAAACTCTAACCATTACACCTCTTCTTTGTTGTTAATTTGTTTTAACAATTGCATTTTAAAATCACAAAAAATGCTCCAAGACATCAGAACCAAACCAAACTGAAAACCGTGTCTAAAACACCAAGCTATGCATTTCACCATGGGCTGCCTGTATTGTTGCATCCCTAACAGACAGACAGACTCACTGCGGTTGCAGAGGTGGCAGGAGTGATGCTGTGATTGGTTGTGCACCCTCATGTGATCCGTGATGTAGGCCGCAGACAGCAGTTTGCCACAGATGTGACACGGAACCTTCTCTTCGTGTCTGATCATGTGAGCGCGCAGACGGTCCCGCGTGGCGAAGCTCGATTCACACGTCTGCACCAAACAACACACGCATGTGCACATGTAACAACCGCCTCACTGTGGGATATAACGCCTTTAACCTGCTACACATTTACATTTCATTAAAAACATTCTCCACACAAATAAACAAAACAACGTAACAAATGGTTTGAATATTGCAACAATAACAGAATAACAAATGTTAAATGTTAAACATTAAATGCAACAACAAGAAACACAGAATCACTATATATTTAGCTCACAGAACTGAAGATATTGAGTTTGTGCAACTAATTGTGACCTGTGCTGGCAAAAAGTGTCACAATGAGCAAATGTTCAAAAATCAGTTATTTTTATATATAAAAATACCATCAAAATGATGTATGATTTGTTGGAATCTGACAAAAACATGACTGAGCTACACCTGTTTGAAGTCGATGGAGTCAGCAAAGTCAATTTAGAGAAAAACTAAAGTTTCCTGAAGGTTTCAAAGCAAAATCACCCAGCAACATTACTTCTTTTCTTAATCATTACTAGATTAATAATCACAATATAGCTATTTTTGATGTTATCTTTGTTGTTATAAATAAGAACAGATGCAAAAAAAGAACAAATATAAGAAACAAGTTTATAGTTTTACTTTTTCATTTTACATCTACACACAAACATTCAAGAAAAACAAATATTAAAATGTAAAAATCCCTTTAGTGCGTTCATTACAAATAAACTGACTATTAAAATTTCAAAAGCAGTTCAATGGAGTGCAGTGAGTGATTCCCTTTTCTTTTATTGTTAGATTAACATTAATGTGACAGACGGCCTGTATTAAGACTTACTGTACTGCACAGATCTAATATAATGTCACACATCTGATGTTTTCCCCCAACAGTTCCCCAAACTTTCACTTAAGATATAACAGATTGTTTGCGTGAATGCTTAAATGTATTTGGCCTCCTGTAATTCTGTGTGTATACAGTGGGTACGGAAAGTATTCAGACCCCCTTAAATTTTTCACTCTTTGTTATATTGCAGCATTTAAGGGGGTCTGAATACTTTCCGTACCCACTGTATATATATCGGGATCACACGCTGTCGATGCAGGCGCTTCGGAGAAAAGGTACTCCTCTACTAATACTTTTAGATGTTTAATTACTAGTTGGAGCATTGGGATCACTAGACGAGGGCGAGATTTTTAGATGAGAGTTTAAAATTTGACCAAAATCTACATTTTTCACTTTTCTTTGCCTGCAGCTCAAAATTAGCCTGTGTGCATTCACACTCATTTTCCCAGCACAGGTCACTTATAAACCAGTTTTGCTCTTACCTTAAAAACACACTAACGTCAAGAAAAGACTCTTCTTTCGGTGTAAACTATACAAATGCAACACAAACTTCCATACCGGACATTTGAAGGGTCGTTCTGAAGAATGCACCTGTCGGACGTGACTGCTGAGATGATCAGGCCTGTGAGATCGAGCGAGAGACGCTTTAGCAGGCTGTCATCACATTAGGGCTGAAAAACTACATCAGAATTTTGCACTAAAATATTATCAACATTCAAATTTAAAAGAATTTCAGTTAGAGGGAAAAAAAAGCTTTTGGCTTCTCTCCTGAGGCCACAAGAGGGCGCATCGAGCAAAATATCACTAATGCACGTTTATTAAAGCAATAAAATAACACGACTATCTGTGAAAGTGTATAATGTTTATAAACCAAATATAATGAAATAAGTTGCTTTAACAATAGGGCTGGGCAAAAAAATCGATTTTTCGATATATCGTTTTTTAAAATGTGGTCGATTCAATATCGATTCTCGAAGGCCACGAATCGATTTTTTTCTATATTTATTTCCACAAACATTGAACATAAGATTTACGTTAATCTTATTACTAGTCTAATCCACTAGATGTCACCCCCTTATTTGCCTTGCGCGATGTTACAGCGGAGAGTCTGTCATTCATTCATTGCTTAAAATGGCGGATTCAGCTGCGTTCCCGACGTCAACACCAGCTTCCAGGCTCTACAGTGCGACCGACACTACTGCGTGCGACTATAAACATTTTTTAGGAGCACCAGTGCGACTGAACAATTATAAACAAAACGGCATCATGTATGCATAGTTTAATACAAAGAATCGAAAGCCAATCACACAGAGTACTTTTTCATTTAAAAACATGATGCAGTGAGATGGAAAAAAATGCCATAAAGTTGAGACATGTTTTGTAAAAATGTAACTTGCATTAATTTTACATGGCTTTCTAAACATGCGGCTCTCTTGTGAGAGACACGAGTGCAACGCTGATAGAAAACACGCAAAATATGCGTTCTGTGTGAACGGCTTGGTTTCAGTTTTGACGTAAATAACACCGCATCGCCGCATCTAGTGGCTTCAACTGGATCGGCTAACAAAAACATTAAAGGGGTCATCGGATGCCCATTTTCCACAAGTTGATATGATTCTTTAGGGTCTTAATGAAAAGTCTGTAACATACTTTGGTTAAATTTCTCAATGGTAGTGTAAAACAACACCGTGTTTACCCTGTCAAAATCAGCTCTGTTCACAGCGACCCGTTTCGGTGCATGTCTCTTTAAATGCTAATGAGCTCTGCTGACCCCGCCCCTCTCTTCCGTGGGGTGACGAGCCATTCTCATGAGACTGTAAACTTTAGCCGCGGAACTTGCTAACTAGCACATTATTAGGAATGTGAAACAATGGCGGACTGTTTACATCTCAATCTGGGCGGGTCTATGCTGAAACACCAGTGTCAATCATCAGTCGTGGGAGGGGCCTGGGTCTGTGTGACGTCACACAGCCAAGAATCTGAGAACGGCTTGATTTGAGAAAGAGGATATATTTTATAGGGATTAAAAAAAAAAAAAACACTGGGTGGATTTTTATCAATATAGGGTGAGCATGTGCACACACTGCCAACACACATTTCAGTTCAAACAACATGTAAAAGTGAATTTTGCATCCGATGACCCCTTTTAAAGCAACGACACCTACATCGTCACCGTGTCTCGTGCGCACTGATAAGGCTGCCTGACGCACACCTAAAATTCAAATGCAAATGATATTAATTTTCAATTGGCTGATTATTCTAAACGCTTTGCTAGCCCTAGATCAGACTGCAGGCGGTGCGGGGAGCTGTGCCCACCGTGAGAAGGCTTTAGCGCAGTGTGGGCAGATGTAGGGCTTCTCCACGCCTCCCTGGTGCGAGCGCACATGATGGCTCATGCGGTCCTTGCGCTTGAAGCGCTGCTGGCAGACGGGGCAGGAGAAGGGCTTCTCATCCGAGTGCGAGAGCCGGTGCCGGTTCAGATGATACACGTCTCTGAAGGCTTTGCCGCAGGTCTCACAGGCGTGGTTCTTGCGCACAGGGTTCTGGTTTACTGGCCTCTGAGGGGAGACGGTCAACAGTCAAAATATTAGCACTGCATCTGTAAACCTGTGCTTACCTGCAGTTCAGAACCACAGACACACAGCCAGTTTGGTTTGTTTAGTGTTTTAGGTTTATTTACACCTCTTATATGCAACCAGTAAACATGAACTAGTGATATTACACCTGACTGTGTCAGAAATTAATAATCATCTCCTGGATCTGATTTTCAGGGCCATTTTTACCTTTACACAGGGATGTTTTTACGTTTTATCACTGCCGTATATACGACAGCATGCTGTTCTTTTATGCAAAATACTTCCAAGCAAAACACTACTGTAGTCAATTAAGCTAAATAAACTTGGTAACACTTTATTTTAAGGTGTCCTTGTTACACGCTACATGTTCTTACTATTATAATAACAATAAATGATGCACAATTACATGCAAGTAACCCTAACCATATAGTAAGTGCATGCAGTTAATATTACTCAGTACTTAAATGTATAATTACACTGTAACAAGGACACCTTAAAATGAAGTGTAATGAAATTCTCTATTTAAATAATTAGGATATAATTAGTCATTAGGAGTAGTAATTACAAGTAATTAAAAAAATTAAAAAATAAACAAATCAATACAGTTTAATGTGATAATATGCATCAGCAGGCCTTAAATAAAATATCAAGAAACATATCAAATGTTGCGAATAATGAAAGAGGTGTTCATTATGCCTCGTTTTATATTTCGCTGCAATTTTTGCAATTTAGCTGATATTTTCTCTGCATCCAAGACACTTACATTATTTTTCCAGTCATTTATGATTACAGCTTACATATTGTTAAAAATAATTTCACAGAGACTGCTGGCACTAGGGTTAGGAATCGAAAATCAATTATAATTCCAGAATCGGATACTTGTTGTAAAATTCAAATTTCAATTCCACCCATCAATTCCTGTGTTCCATCTTTTTTTTAGGTGGTGAAAAGGGGCTGTTAAAAATTTTTGTTCGTGGCACTCAGCAGCAATTAAATGTTCTGAGAGACACAGAATAAAAATGTTTGATATCTAAATGTTTGACTTTTTCTTAACCACATTGGAATCGAAAGTGCGAATCAATAAGAATCGGAACTGAAATGGATAAAATTCAAACGATACCCAACCCTACCTGGCACATATTTCCAAATTATGTATTCAAATGACTATACTTATAGGTGTGCAAATATCTCAAACTGACACAAACTGACAGACTAATATAGCTGGGGCTACATCACATGTACATTAATCTGTGAGATTCACACGAAGGCAGATTCTGAAGACACACACGGATGCCCACCTGTACCGGCTCCCCTGTTGCCATGGCGACAGCAGCGGCGGGAGGCGGGAGGGCGGTGACGGTCTCCATGGCAGCGGGCAGCATCTGGGGGATGGAGAGATGCAGCAGAGAGAGCGGCGCGCTCTCTTTGGCCTCGTGGCTCTGCGGCGCCCCCTTCATGCGGAGCCCGGTGTGGACAGACTGATGCCGCCGCAGGTTGTAGCTGTTCTTGAACTGCTTGCTGCAGATGGAGCAGATGTGGGAGGCGCGGGCCGGTCTGCACACCGGCTTCACTGATGGGACAGACAACAGCAGAGAGAGGGTTAAACAGAGAGTTCGGTCATTAATTACTCATTACAAACCCGTAAGACCTTCGAGATACCACAAATTAAGATATTGTTGATGCTTTCTGACCCTCCATAGACAGCAAGGGAACTGCTACGATCACGCTTTGAGAAGAAATCACTGAATAAAGTTATTTTTGTTTTCTTTGTGCACAAAAAGTATTCTCGTAGCTTCATAACATTGCGGTTGAACCACTGATGTCACATGGACCGTTTTACTGATGTCCTTACTGCACTTCGATGCGAATAAATCAATAATCTGCAAATAATCGATGCATCGTGAATCGAGAAATGATTCTGCATCGATTCTGAGCTTAGTTTTTAACAGCAGATGGCACTGCACTTTAGAAACAGCCGTACTCGGCTAGCGAATCTGCTAGCGGTGTTTACATTAACCTCACGTCATGAAAGCTGAGGTTCAAGTACATTTAGCCACCTACAGGACTCAACCGAATGCCCTTCGTGAGCATTTGAGTGTGCAATTAAAAACTAGCCTAGAGCGCCACCTGCTGTTAAAAACTAAGCTCAGAATAGCGACGCATTTGGAAAATCTCAGAAATGATCCAGGAATCGCGATGCATTGATTTATCGCCCAGCCCTGTTGACCGTGGCAGGACTCCTTGTCTATGCAGGGTCAGAGAGCTCTCGGATTCCATCAAACATATCTTCATTTGTGTCTGAAGATGAACGAACGTCTTACGGGTTTGGAACAACATGAGGGTGAGTGATTAATGACAGATTTTTCAGACTATCCCTTTAAGGTAGTCAAATTAGCACAATTCTGGTGAAATTTCAGCAAGCAACTTAAAGGGGTCATATGATGCGATTTCAAGTTTTCCTTTCTCTTTGGAGTGTTACAAGCTGATTGTGCATAGATAAGATCCCTGAAGTTGCAAAGACTAAAGTCTCAAAACCAAAGATGTCAACATATTCTGTTACACCAAATACACAAAATAATGATCTTTAAAAAAGCATTATATGACCCCTTTAAACCCTTTGTAAGATCTGCACGCACGCCGATTCCGGGTTCTGCCATGAAAATTCACTGAAAAAATAGTAAATGTGACCGCATCTTTACAAACGCACTTCTTGACCTTGGATTTTCCAAGAATTTCTGCAAAATTTCACAGGTAATAAAGGCTGATTGTCACAGATTCAAAGTGGTGAATTTGAGCGGCCAACGATATTCAATGCAGCGCTGCTCTATATACCCCCCCCCCTCACCCACCAGGTACAGGATCCTCATTGAGAGCTGCAGTATCCACTGTCGACGGGGGCGGGGCTATGTGCTCGGTGGGCGGGGTCTGAGGAGAGTTCAGCAGCTCTGATTGGAGGCTCCCCTCCACTGGGGTCTGGGAGGGTGTGGTCTGGGAAAGAACAATCACAAAGTACTAAATTTGAATTCTAAACTTCAGTTAAGGTACAGCTGAAGTGCATTTGATATCCTAACACAGATGCTCCGTAACAACACGAATTTGCGCACACACACACACAGACCTCGTTCAGTCTCACCTGGAAGAGAAAATTGCTCCAAGCGGCATCCATTTTGTTCCACTGCGATGAATATTATAATCAACTACACAGTCCTGGAGATTAATAACGCACCATTTACATCCTTTAGACGTGTTTTTAAACTATTCACTTGTTTCATGAACAGCTCAGATTAGCAGGCAATAATACACACCATTTAGTGTTTACTTTGCTCCTGTCCAACTTTAACCCGAGACATCACAACAACGTGCTATTTATTCATTTGCAGGAGTTAAAATGTCGAAAGCAATCGTGTTACTTCTAGACTCTTACATCGTGCATAATAAAAGGCATTTAGACGTTAAAATGACGGTTAGACGTGATGCGACTGACGCAATCGAAAGAGCCAAAGTTTAAGGTTGCTGTGGATGAATCAGAGTTTTTTTCCTCGATCCCCCGATAGGCCTCTCGGGTGTTTGTCGAAGCCTCGCTGTAGAGTTAAGCGGTGACCCCGGAGAGTGACGCTGGAGCCCGGCCGCAGCCCGCCGCTCCACCTCGGCGCTTCGATTCACAGGTTGTCATCTTTCTTTTTTTATCGCGCTCTCTCTCCTCCTCCCTCCCTTCCGTCTCTTTCTTCCTTTTCCTTTTTAATTCCTCTTTCTTCGACCCCCTCCTCTCCGCTATGTCCCAGTTGTTGTTAAAGGGATGCGCTCGCTGTTCCCGCCGCTTCCTCTCAGAGTGCGCCGACAGAAAAACAGCGGGAACTGACGTCACGTGACCGAGACGATCTGCACCTTAGAGAAATATAAAACATATTTCGTTAATATTCTAATATTTGCCTGCAGTTTTTTTATTAGTGGTTAAGGATACGGCTTTTTTTTTCAGAACTTTAGCAAAGCCAAAGAGAACGTGCGTATTAATACTGTCCCTTGTCGAATTTCATATGCTCAGAGTCTAAATGTGTAACCAATAACATATTTATTGTATTTGAAAATAAAATCAATGTCCAAAAAAAAGCCTTCTAACTTATAAAAAGACTTTAAATAACTTGTAATAAAGCTTGTGCTTTATATGGATTTTCCCTGAATTGACAGAAAAAAAAATAAAAAATACATAAATACATAGTGAATTAAATGCTTAACTCTTTCGCACGTGAGTTTAAAATATTCTAGCTGAGCCCCGAGCGTGAGTTCTTTTTAGGCGGCCGTTATTTTAGAATGTATTGCCTGTTTCCATGGCGACGCGTCATGCTTGTCATGTGACACAACGCAGCCACAATAGCGCTGTATGACACATGGAACGCTTTTATTTCCTTTTTCCTTTTTTATTCAAAATATTCACAAACATGCTCACTATATTATGAAATATCTGATATTCCGATTCTGAAATATGTGCAAGTAAATCTATTTGGTAGTTTAAACACTTTTACATCGACCGTGTTAGTTGATCTATACCGGGTGACGGGCGCCGCCATGTTAGTTCGCGCTGAATCCGAGCTGTGGGATTTACAACAAGCAAATTCATCCTCTCCTCCCGAAACATGTTAAAGTAGGTCTCCGGTAAACTGGGAGAAGAGCAGAGTAAACTTTATAGTTACCTACACAATCTGTATATGATATCAATTAAAACATGTCGTCAGATTATATTTGTAAGGATCATTATTGCCGTTTCCATAAACATCAGCGTGTATTTTACAAACTGTAAATGTATGGTTTTGCTAGTACTTATGTGTATTTAAATGTCTGAAACCTAAAATAAGCATTATATGGTTGAAAACACTGAATATTTGTGATAATATGACAAGCGCTCAGCGCGTCCGATCTGGCTCGCGCTAGCCAGAGCGCGAAAGCGGATTTAAATTCAGCAGTTGATGACGTGACGCACTGAACGTTCTAATCACACCGGTGTGATCGTACGCGTTAAAGGGTTAATTAATAAATAGAATGAACCGAGTGTGACGCTCCCAACGAAGCTGCATTACGCTTATTATCATATTAAAATATTTTGATATTTTGGAAAAACGCTATACGAATATTTATTTATTGGTTAAGTTTTTGTGTACCATATTTTGAGAAGACATTTTTTTGTATTTTATAAGAATTAAAAAAAAAAAACTTTAACTTATAAAAGCTTGAAAGCTGTTAAGACTTGCCTGTGATTTATATTGTTTTCCCCTCTGAACTTACAGGATTTAATTTCCCTTACGAAAATTAACCATGGTTTTACTACAAATAAAACCAAAAAACCATTGATAGTTAAACCACGTGACCACACAAGCCACGGTCTGCAGCTCATCCAGAAGCCTGCGGAGAAATCCCATTGGTTAGTCGACGGAGCCCGCGAGTGACGTCACAGATCAGCGATGTTTACATGTTTATCAGTTCAGAGGAGCGCGAGGATGATGCCACTCGTGGGACAAATGTTTAAAGAACACCGTAAAGACAACACGAGACCAATCCACGTTAATATCAATTTATTATCATTTAAATCGCTTCGCGTTCATTTATTTTTCTTCCTCGTGTTTTCTCCCTTCAAACCACAAGCGGTTTGATTTCAGTAATAAATATGTTTGGAGAATGTCCTCTCAGCAAAACATACACAGAGCCTCAGGAGAGCCTGCTTTACCACCGTGCGTGGAGCCAGACCTCTTTAACCTGCCTTTGCCATTAGCTCTGACATTCAACACAGCATCACACCACATCTCACAAACAACCAGTCCATCCAGCGGCCCTCATCCCCATACACCAGAAGATCTGCATGCACCGTTTACTTCAAACCAAGCATAAAGTAGTAGGTTATACAGAGAGAGGGAGAGATATCAGAGCCGGTGTTTCTGGCTCGAGTTCCTCAGGTTCTCTTGTGTTCTGGGATATCTCTGAATGTGTCTGGAGCTGCAGAAGCGTCCCAGGATCAGAGCACAGAAACACCGCTGTTTAGAGTCCCTCTTCCATCGTTTGCTGCTCAAAATAACACAAGATCCAGCTCTGCCCGAAAGAGCAGCGAGTGTAACCCGTCGTAATTAAATCAAGTCTGTTTTTATATCATCTAAAGTCTGAGTTAAAGGATGCTCATCCCAGCGGATAAACCCTCAAGTCCTATTTTTTGGTGTGTTTGTGTACAAAAGTGGCCACCAGAGCGCATCCCATTCAGACGACGCATACACACAATTAACCATTATTAATGCTCGCGTATTAATAACCGTAACGCACACCCGATTTCTTGATTTCTTTTAGAAACGTTCACATCTTTTGCAACCAGATGCTTGGAGAAATCTGAAAAACGTCTTCGTGACGAACGCTGTGCACTCCAGATCCAATTTCTACAATTAAATGTTGTCTATTCTGTTCACATGTTATTTTATCAAAATGTGGATAGTCATAATTACTATAGAAAACTGTGGACACAATGCTTCAACACTTTAGATACTATATATTTATATACACAATAAAAGATCCAATTGGTGGGAGACTGACTCTATAGTCTTCGGCTGCGTCTGAGTAGGCACTGAGTACTCGGTGACCGTTAAAACAAGTATGTTGTATATCGTATGAATGTAATGAATGTAACTTCTCACATACTGTTTTCGTCTACTATGTAGTAGCAATATCTGCGATTTCGGATGCAAACAATGATTTTGTAAAGGTAGCTTTAAGGCCCGTTCACAATAAGAACGATGATTATAATGATAGTTACAGTGATAACCAGTGTTGCCAACTAATTTTCAGGGGAAGTTGCTAAAGGAAGGTTGATTTGTTGCTAAAAGTTGCTAAATGATGCTGTGATGACATTGAGGGATGACGTCATTACGTAATCACGATGTTCATTTAGATTTGTTCGTAATAATATAAATGAATAATATAATATTAAAATAAAAATAACAATTTTTAAATACACTGAATTATCGAAAGCTTACACATTTTTTAACGATTATACAATTTAAGTTTTTTTAATTATTATTATTAGCTAGTAAACAAGTAAAACTACAAATTCTGAACAATTACACTTTTAAGCAGTGTATTGGTAGTTAAAAGTAGTGCACAATCTACTATGTTAATATGAAGGAATTTTCTGTATTGATTTTTCCACAGGTTCTTTTTTTACCTGCATTTTTAATTACGCATTTTCGGGTTACAACGGGCCTCGATCTCGGACGCCTGGCGCTCCAGGAGGGACCGGATGCGCTCCGAGCGCTCGTTCTGCAGGGCCAGCATCTCCTCCTCGATCTGGAGAAACAGAGCCACAGAAACTGCTTCTGATCGCCGCAACTAATCGTGCAGAGTCGGGATAAATTAAAGGGTTAGTTCACCCAACAATGAAAATTTGTCCATGTTTTACTCACCCGAGGCTTCTTTCAGACGAATTCAACCAAAGTTATATTAAAAATTGTCCTGGCTCTTTCAAGCTTTATAATGCAGAGATGGAAAAAGGTGAGAGCATTGCGCGGATCAGGGGCATGCTTTAAAGGTATTTTCTTTACATGCTCATTTGTAGTTACTTTAAGGTATTTTTTAAATATTTGTTATTACCTTAATTTATAAACTTAATTTTTCACAAAAAAAAAAAAAAAGATTTGCATCTTGTTGCAACATTTTACAAAAAACAAGATTAAATGTATTTAGTCAAAATCCCATGTTATAAAAGATGAAGTGCTATGCAGGCTATTTAACACAATATTGGCTGATTAGACAGCAATGCTGACCTAAAATGCAAAATGTTTGCCCTCTCTCGCTCTTCACCGTTCCCACATCTCAGACCTCAAATACATGAAATATTACCCTTTTTAGACATAGATTTTGAATTAAAGAGTAAAGAAAATACTATACAAAACTTATTGTAACAGCCAGTTCATTTATCCTTGTAAGACCCCCCATCCCCTCACAAAAACGCTTTCTCATTGGATCTAAGCAAATCTCATAGGTGACCTATTCTGATCTCAAAAAGGTGAGTTGTCTCTGAAAGGTGAGGAGTATATTATGCATGGGTAGGTGTTTCTGTTCAACAGTCCAAAAGTGGTCAAATAAAGCGCGCACATCCATAATAAAACATGTCTCACACGGCTCCGGGGTGAATAAAGGCCTCCTGTAGCGAATCGGTGCATTTTGTAAGAAAAAACATCCATATTTAAAATTATATAAAAACCTTTTTCTCACTTCTGCTAGCTGTCGTAGGCGGAAGCTGTTCCGGCGGATGATGTAAGACGTAAGCGTAGTGTAAGATCCGGTGCTTCGTGATGAACGTGGAAGAGCAGAGGAGAGAGAACAAAACAAAACAACGGTCATGAATTAGAAGCACAAAACGAGGATTTGTAAAGAAAAATGTCGGAGGATTTCGATATAAGCCAAAAAGAGACTGGTTTTCCTTTGCTAACGTAAGGAAACTTTGCTTCCTTTGGTCCTGTAAACAAACGTTGGTTTTCGCGAGACTCACATGCGCCGCGCCGACATCATCCTCCGGATCAGCAGTCTCTCGTGAATGCATGTACGACAGTTAGCAGAGGTTACACAAAACTGTTTATATCGTTTTAAATATGGATATTTTGTTTACAAAAACGCATCGATTCGCCACAGGAGGCCTTTATTCACCCCGGAGCCGTGTGAGGCGCGTTTTAATATGGGTGGATGCGCTTTATTTGACTACTTTTGGACTGTTGAACAAAAACACCCATTCACTGCCATTATAAAGCTTGAAAGAGCCAGGACAATTTTCAATATAACTCTGATTGGATTAGTCTGAAAGAAGACAGTCATATACACCTAGGATGGCTTGAGGGTGAGTAAAACATGGACTAATTTTCATTTTTGGGTGAACTATCCCTTTAAAATTAATCTATCTTCTAAATGCACAGTAGGGCTGCACGATTAATCGAAGCTTGTCAGTAAAGCCGGTTCTATAATCAGTAGTAAATCTCCATCACGTGCTTTCAAATGGAGCAGCATTTATTATACAGAGCCATAGTTCACGGACAAGCTGCGCAAAAAAAATCACAGACGATATAATCGCGCGATAATGACAGCTGTTTGCGTAGCTTGTCAGTGAATTACGGCTCTGTGTAGTAAATGCTGCTCCATCTGAAAGCATGTAAAAATACCACAAGTTAAATCTTCTGTTTATTCAGTGACTGCTATAGGGTTCTCCTTCTGCGAGGCGTATTTGGAGTTTCTCTGTCCTTCAGATGGAGATGTATTGCTGATCACAGAACCCTGCTTCACTGACCAGATGCGCATGAAAATCACTGCTTTTGCCTAATCGCGATTGTGATTCATTTAGATTTATCGTGCAGCCCTAATGCACAGATCTTGTTGTGAACGATTACGAAGCAATTAAAATTGCTTTGAGCTTGTAATGTTTAATTAAAGGGATAGTTCACCCAAAAATGTCTGTCATTAATTACTCACCCTCATGTCGTTCCAAACCTGTAAGACCCTCGTTCATCTTCAGAACACAAATTAAGATATTTTAATTAAGATACGTAAGCAGCAGAACCATACGTCATGATGGTGGTGCACCGCTGCAGACGGGACGAGGAGGAGAAGAATTGTTGAATAAAGTTGTTCTTTTTGTTTCCTCTGTGCACAAAAAGTATTCTCGTAGCTTCGTAACATTACGGTTGAGCCGCTGATGTCACATGGACTGTTTTACTGATGTATTTGCTACGTCTCTGGACCTGAGAACATTACAGTTGTGTTGCTGTCTATGCAGGGTCTGAGAGCTCTCGGAGTTCATCAGAAATATCTTCATTTGTGTTCAGAAGATGAACGAAGGTCTTACGGGTTTAGAACGACATGAGGGTGAGTAATTAATGACAGAATTTTCATTTTTGGGTGAACTATCCCTTTAAATGAAAGATCTTCAGGTGAAAATAACAGACTTCTCCAATTGTTTAGTCATCTTAAACTGCATTTCTACAGTTCATCTGCTTGCGTTCATTGGCCTTCACTTTTGAGAACAACGGCTGCATCTCAAAATCCAATCAACAGCTGATGCACTGAACCAAGTCTCAGCCCTACACTTCAATTTTTTGATAATCCTTTACACTCTGATGTATGTCACGTTATTGAAGAAAAGATTTGTCTCTACTTCTGTATCATCAGCTTTAAATTCAAGTTCATTTAAAAAGTTGTGCAAGTTTTTACTGTCACAAATTAATCACTTGCATAATATCATTAGCAAAAACACAAACCAGACTATGTTAAATATCGTTTAAACATGATTTGTGCCATCCACAATGTGCTTAGAGCATGAAACCATTAAAAAAACAAGCATTTTTAGACAAGCCTGCTGAGTGTTTCAATACAAAACAATGGGATTAAAAACATACCAACAAATGACCAAATATAATGGAAATGCACCAATATTAAAACTCTAGCCGATACCAATTAGCCAATAATTGTTTTACGGCAAACAACTGAAGCTTAAAGATGACATTTACCAGTGTTAAAGTTTTTTTGTGTGTGTGCGCGTAAAAATTGGAGAAATATGCATAAGCAAAATGTTTCATTAGAAAAAACTTAAATAAAAAAACAATTTAATTCAAATGCTACAAGTGAATATAGACATCACTTTATAACTATACAGTAAAAAACAATGGCTATTTATTTTCAGATTATATTTACCCGTTACATTATTTGTTTTTTAAAAATTAATTTTAAGCAACGTTTACATCACGGCGAAGATCATTTAAATGTAACAACTAGGGAAATATGCCTGAACAATTAAGTATCCAATATCAACCAATATGGATTAATTACAGTTTTTCTCAATCGATTTGACACTTTTCTCCAATGCAATGTACTTGTTCTCAAAACAATTAGCACAGCCATCCAAACACAAAATGATCTTAACCAAAGTTCAACATTACTGCATAATGAAGCACTGCAATTTTTTCTAGTAATGCATTTATTAAAGGGGTGGTTGATTGCGGTTTCACTTTTTTAACATTAGTTAGCGTGCAATGTTGCTGTTTGAGCATAAACAATATCTGCAAAGTTGCGAAGCTGAAAGTTCAATGCAAACGCAGATATCGTCTTTTAAAATGCTGGCAGTTTAATGCCTACAAAAACGGCTGGTAGGGACTACAACGAGTTACTTCCCGGGTTCATGACATCACAAACCCAGATAAACCCCACCCTCAGGAAAAGGCAGCAAAGTGGGCGAGGCCATGCTGCGCTGCTTTAGAGAAGAGGAAGAGAAAACTAGAGGTGCACGTAAAAATCTATTCATATATGAATCACGATTCTGTCTTCTAACGATTCTAATGGATTCACACGTTTCAAAATCAATGTTCTAAAGCAGCGGTTTGATTAACCGAGCAGTTATCAGTTTAGGGCCAATCGGAAATATACCACGTTCACTTGATAGAATGACAAATGACAGTTTGTTTGTTGTGTTTGGACAAATAGTACATAAATGTTTGTGATTTGAGTAAAATATTTTTTTTCCCCAGATATTTTTAAGTATTGGTTGGTTGTATTAACTATTGTGAAAACATTTGGGAGTTTTGTGCACATCGTTTTGAGAATTATTTGCATGATTTGTAATTTGTATGAAATGAATCAAAACGTACATCTGTTAGGACAATTATAAAGTGTGTTAACTGTTTTGAGAACAGTGACCTGAGTTTGGAGAAATGTGTCAAATCGATTGAGAAAAACTGTAGTAAAATCTCTAATATCATCTGGGGTAGGAGACCTGACATGGTCTATACAGCAGGTTAAATAAGTATTGAACACGTCACCATTTTTCTCTATATTTCTAAAGGTGCTGTTGACTTGGAATTTTCACCAGATGTCAGTAACAACCAAAGTAATCCATACATACAAAAAACAAAAAAAAAAAGTTCAGAAATTAAGTTCTGTGTAATAAAATGGAATGACCCAGGGAAAAAGTATTGAACACAAATCAACAGCACCTTTAGAAACATATTCACTGAGGAAAATGGTGACGTGTTCAATACTTACTTTACCCGCTGTATATACCATGCAACCCAAAAATGAATTGCATTTTGTGCACAAACGTAGAGTTGCGACTCTAAAGCAGCGGTTCCCGACCCTGGTCCAGGAGGCACCCCAACACTGCACATTTTGCACATCTCCTTTCTCCGACACACCAATTCCAGATGTTGAAGTCTCTACTAATGAGCTGAATCAGGTGTGTTTGATTAAGGAGACATGCAAATCATGCAGTGTTGGGGTGCCTCTGAAGCACTATAGTTACCCTTTGCTCCAGCAGGGCTCTGCGGATGGACACGCTCTGCTCCAGCTCCTTCACCTCCCTCTCGTGCTGTGCGTCCGTGTGCATCTTGATCTTGCTCTGGTAAGCGTTGAGCAGCTCTAGCTCCTGCTGCAGCTGCATCCTCAGCGCCTGATACTCGGCCTCCTGCGTCTCGTCCAGCCGCAGCTGCACACAAACACACAGAGCAACAGAGGTCAGAGAAGCAAACCGGATCGGCCAGAGCGGGACGGACCGTGTCTTACTCACAGCCTGTGTGGACAGCATGTCGTTGATGGAGTGGTCGTACTGCTCGGCCAGAATGGCCAGCTTGCGGGTCTGCTCATCTTTGAGACGCTTCAGCACGGCCTTGTGGTCCGACTTGGGTGTGTTCTCCAGCAGGTGGTTCCTCAGCGCTTTATACTGACGCGTCTGGATCTTACACGTGTCCTGGAACTGACGCTTAATCTGCAGCTCTTTGGACTACAGGAACAGGGAAGAGTGTGGTGACGAGATTTGACACCAGACGGGAGGAAAGAGCGGAGCGAAGACAGAACTGCGCTCGCACTGCTTAGAAAACACTTCAGAATGACATTTTAACGTAGCATGTGAAAATGTGAGAAGAATTAAAACTTAGTCATTTTTACCTGACATTTTAGACTTGCAGCAACTGAATTCCACTTATATCTAACATGTGACCCTGGAGCACAAAACCAGTCATAAGGGTCAATTTTGTGAAATAAATAAGCTTTCCACTGATGTATGGTTTGTTAGGATAGGACAATATTTGGTCGAGATACAACTATTTGAAAATCTGGAATCTGAGGGTGCAAAAAAATCTAAATATTGAGAAAATCATCTTTAAAGTTGTTCAAATTAAGTTCTTAGCAATGCATATTACTAATCAAAAATTAGGTTTTGATATATTTACGGTAGGAAATCTACAAAATATCTTCATGGAACATGATCTTTACTTAATATCCTAATGATTTTTGGCATAAAAGAAAAATTTATAATTTTGACCCATACAATGTATTGTTGGCTATTGCTACAAATATACCCCAGCGACTTAACACTGCTTTTGTGGTAATCATAAGAATTCATAATAAACATGCTTGAAGTGAAAAAAATAATGAAATTAAAGCAGCAGCAGGACCATATGAATGCAAAACAAAACTGAGATGAAGAATTCTAACAAAATATGACATGAACCAAAGGACAATGATCATAATAAAGAAAATTTATTTCAGAAACATATAACAGAAATCTTTGTTTGAACTTTAAGTAAACATCCATTCATGCACAAACACAAAACGAGGATGAAATGCACACAATGGCCCTGAAACAGACGGTGCAATGCAACAAAATTACACAAACATTCCTCAAATAATAATCAAGACAAAATTTGTGATTTGGCTAAAAAAAACAAAGGGAGCACAGAATATGTAAACATGAAGTAACAAGACAAAAAATGAAATAACACAAAGACAAACTTGAAACAGTAAATTGCCAATAACTGGAACAAATATGGCTAAAACTGAAATGCTTCCTTTTTGCCAAGAAATAGAATTTTCTTAAAATAGACAGCATTTCCTCATCACTCGTGTAGTAGACATATGGTCCCTCTGATAATCTTAAGATTTCTACGAAGCATTTCAAATAAAGATGATTTGTGTGCAGTGCAAGCTATTCTTTATCACTCCAACCATCACCCTCTTCACTTCTTACGTCACAACTCCGTGTAATCTTTGTGATGATTGTCATAATGGCTTCTTATTATAGCCTTTAATATGCAGCAAAAGAGCACTAATAAATATGAAATAACAGTGCCATGCAAACATTGAAAACTAGGGCTAACTTGTGTAAATGCTTCATCTAAACAGGCTAGACCTCTCTTCAGAAGGATATGATCAAAACACTCGTTTACATGGTAAATATGATCAGATCATTGCCTCTAGTGCAAGAACACATCTACTAACACATCTGCTCATATACTGTCGAGTAAAACTGATCCGGTTTGAGATTTCCCTCGAAATAAAACTGCACATCTCATATGCTGAATTTATAATAGATCACCCATATTTCACCTAAAGTTATGAGACTGACGTTAAATTTAACAACAACATTTAATAAAGTTCACTGCTAAAGTGTCAGAACTGAATGAACAGCATTCAGAATGGTTCATCCATCCGATCCTGTGGCATAGAGAACTAACATCAAACCATTCAATAAACCTAATGTATGATATATATAACAGCTGCGGTTCATTTTGGCAAGGACGCAGATTTTGCAAGTGTTTGATTGTCATTTTCTGAGGTCCTGCCTCTAAATCATCCAGCGAGAGGACTCTAAACATTTCTGAGGACAGCTTCAGCTGCTTTTAGTTGCTTTTGAAATGATATCAAACACTGATTGTGCAACAACATGCAGCCTAGCTTCTGTTTCTATTTCAATACAAACGTTCCTCGAAAAGTAGGGAAAAGCATCGGCGCTTCATCTAATGCACTTCTGGAAGAGTCAGAGCTTGTAGTGTTGTGTTTTTGGGAGATCTATAGTGTAAAGCGCTAACACTTTCAGTCAATTAATTCAGCATTTAACTTCACTGAAAGGTCATTTTCACACCATTTTGGTTTCGCAATATAATTCATTGTTGAAATTAAGACCCCCTTCAAAATGAAATAACAAAAACTAAATCAAGATTGCACAGGCATGGCTTCAACGATCACCATAACACACATAGCTCATGCTATTTGAGAATAAAATAACTCAAAGAGTAAAAAAACAAAACAAAGAAACTTTTACAAAAAGCACAATAATCGACTGAAGCTTTGCATTCATGGCGACAGTGAATGAGGGAGCTGGAATAAAACGGTGCATTAATCTTAAAGCAACAGTTCACCTAAAAAAGGAAATTGTCATCATTTACTCAAGCGAATGCCGTTCCAAACCCGTAAGACTTTGGTTCATCTTCAAATCACACATACCTCCTTCCCTCCGTCTCAATCTATCTCCAAGGCACCACCTTTCCTTTCAAGCTCCTCGCTGACGGGGTTCTCCTCAACACACTCTCCCACCTGCCTTCCTCCCTGTACCTCCTCTCTCGCTCCGCCCTCCTCCTCCTCCTCCTCCTCCTCTGCTCCCTCACGGCTCGGGGCAGGAGGATCGGGAGCTTGCTGGCTCTCTCTCTGCGCAGGATCCCGCAGGCCTGCAGGCGTCTCAGCTGATTCTGAGGCAGCTCCTTCAGCAAACGCTTGGCTAAACGCAGCACCACGGAGTTAGCGAGGTCCGTCAGAGTGCCGAGAGGCCGGCGGACGAACCGTCGGCCCAAAAGCATGCACCGCGCAAACAAGACGGAGCATCTGCTTTTGGCCCGATACTCCGCTCCAAGGCTTCTCAAAGGCACTGGGATTCTGGACTGGCGCCCGGCCCAGTTGCGTCCGGCTTTGGGGAACATGTCGTAGAGGCTTCGCTCGGTCAGGCCGCCGAGGAGCGACTGGCACACGGCAAACACTGGCTTCGGCAGACGGAACAGAACTCGCATCCAGAGGCGACTGAGTTTGCGTGGGATGTTCTGGAGGAAAACCCTGGCCGGACGCAGCACCAGAACCACCACCAGATAGAGGGTGAGGAAGAGCGACGGCGAGCTGAGAAAAGACGCCGAAACCAAGGCCACTGGGACATAATAGAGCCCCAAGCTCAAAGACAAACCTAGACTGAAGAGTCCGGAGCCCCAGTAGGCCAGCGAGAGGTACGTGGAAAACGCGAGCGAGCAGCAGGAGCGCAGGAACAGGTAAGAAAAGACGAGCGCCAGGAAGGCCAGCTCGCCTGAGAGAAGCACGGAAGCCAGCGAAGGCAGCGGAGGCGAGCGGCGCAGGGAAAGCAGGAAGACGGAGAGGAAGAGGAGGGTGAGGAGGGACGGACGCATGGCGGCGGAGAGAGAGAGCGCGAGGCAGATCGCGTGAGAGAAGAGCGAGGGAAGCGACGGCTGCGAGGAAGAGGAGGCAGGCGTGTAGACCGGCGGAGGCTCCAGCTCTTCTAGCGTATCCGGGAAGTAGAACTCCGAGAGCTCGTCTGTATTACGCTCCAGGGGGCGGAGCTCAAAGGAAGGGGCGGGCATCAGCTCTGACGGACATCCGTCGGCCACGCCTCGGTCCTCTTCCTCACACTCTGATTCGCTGCCGTCGTCCCAAGGACGGCCTTCTACTCGTCTGGGATCAAGGTTGTCCTCAGCCTGCTGCGGTTCATCTAACTGCTCGTTTGCACTTTCACCTGCTCTGTCTACTGTTTCACACTGGTCAGTAAAAGTCTCTTGGGTGTCATTTCCTTCTATTTCTACAGCTGTCTCCTCAAGCTGCATCTCATCCCCGTCTATCATTTCTCCATCTCTACTCAGCTGTTCCTCTTGCACCACCTCTTCGGTTTCAAGCCCCTCCCCCTCTCTCATAGACCCCACCCCCTCTCTGCTAGGCTCCTCCCCCTCCCCAGTACTCTGGCAGTCACTCACTCTCAGGCTCTTGGGCTGCTGGCGGACTTCGACAGCATGTTTTTGCCGCAGCTCTTGCTCGCGCTGCTTGTTGTACTCCATCTGGTTGGTGAGCTCGGTCTGGTGCTGCGTCCGGATCAGATCGGCCCGTGTGTGCTGCACCAGACCCAGCTGCCTGAACTCCAGCTCCTGAGTCGACTCGTGATGCCGCAGCAGCATGGCACACTCCAGGTCCTTCAGAGTCTGTTTCTTGTTCAGGTCCTGCGGTGGGACAAACAGAGATGTGTGGTTAGAAACGCGTCGGGCAGCTGTGGCCAGGCATAAACGAGCATGTTCCGAGCATTAATTCCTATTAATTACCTAGACTTTGGCAGCCTGGCAATAATTAACCAAAAATAATTTACACTTCTCACATTAACATTAAAGATCTCTAACATTAGTTTTGTTTGCTTTGTCAACTGAACAAACATCTAAACTGTGATACGGCTTTGTGTGCACATCAAGTCTCAAAGTGCTGTGATTGATTAGAGGATAGAGTCTAAAGCACTGCATGTTTTACAGCGAAGCATGGTAGTGTGTTCATTTACGAGCGACAGGCTCATGAGCCGGTGTTCTCAGCGTCTTACGGCGGCTCGCTTCGTAGTAAATGCAGCAAACTCCATCTCTGCATGTGCTGAGAGTTTCAGGTGCGTTTGAGAACCCCAGTTACGCTTTTTCACATTCGCATAATTTCCAACAATACACAGAAACGTAAATTTAGTTTTGCAGTTTTCCGCCAAAATAAAAGCTGGATGGTTTGCTCCTGCAAGTGAAGAAATGAAGACATGGGTTTTGTTAAAATTACTACTGTAAAGTTTAGTAGTGAAGGATCATCAAATGCAAACCGTGCATTTTGCTTCACGAGAGCAAACAAGTGTTTCCCAATATGCAGTGTGGGAAACACTGCATGTGACTGAATACGTGAGAGGCAGATTCACCAGTTTGTTCTCACTCGTCCTCTGCAAACAGACTGTCGTATGAAACATGCGCTGTAATCAAGCTAATGATCTGGGCAGGTGACTGGCTCTTGGCTCTGTACCTCTCGGAGCAGGTCTTGCTCCAGGTTGTGGCGAGTGAGCAGCATCTTCCTCTTGTACTGGCGGCCCTGCAGCTCGTAGTACTGCCTCTGTCTGCGCAGTAAACCCGCCTCCTCCTCCGCCTGCAGCTGCTGCAGACACTCCTTCTGCTGCACCAGCCACTCCTGCTTCTCCCGCTTCGGTGTGGACTGGTTCTCGCTGAGCTCCTGCACACAGGAGAAACCTTCATCAGCACATCCGAGCGAAGCGCAGGCGATCACTCTCCGCCGTACCTCTTTGAGCTGCTCCTTGCGCTGCCTGTACTGGCGCTTCTGAGACTCCAGCAGGCTGCTGAGCTCCTTCTTCTGCTGGCCCAAGATGTGCTGCTGGAACTTCTTCTCTTCTGTGAGAGCGCCCTTAGACTGAGACAAGAGAGGAGTCAGAACTTCTTTTCTGCTCATGCCATCGGCAGCTCCATCCCTGCTTTTCTGTTCCTCTCATTCGCTTTTTTCTTTTTCTATCTATCTGTCTCTCCGTCTATCTATCTATCCATCTGTCACTCCGTCTATCGAGCCATCTATCTATCGATCTGTCTCTCCATCTATCCATCCATCCATCCATCCATCTATCGATCTGTCTCTCCATCTATCCATCCATCCATCCATCCATCTATCGATCTGTCTCTCCATCTATCCATCCATCCATCCATCCATCTATCGATCTGTCTCTAAATCTATCCATCCATCCATCCATCTATCTATCGATCTGTCTCTCCATCTATCCATCTATCTATCTATCGATCTGTCTCTCCATCTATCCATCCGTCCATCCATCCATCCATCCATCCATCTCAGTCACCTCTTTCTCCAGGATGGCCTGGTGCTTCTTGCTGAGCTTGTCTGCTTCACTGCTGAAGTTGTTTGTCTGTGTCTCCAGCTCTTTGTCGAGTCTCAGCTGATGTTCGTCTATCTCAGCCTTCAGCTTGTTCTCCAGAGCCATCAGCTGCTTCTGGTGCTGCCTCCTCATGCGTTTGTATCTGGACATCTGCTCTCTCAGCGCCGAGCCCTGCTCGTGCTCCTGGATCTGACGGGTCACCAGCGAGGCCGTGCGGATGGTGGCGAAGTGGTCCCGTCCCCTGCGCCGGCGGCCCCCGGAGGGGCCCTGCTGCTGGGAGTCCACCTCCGGCTGGTACGGGTCATCGTAGAGGTTATCATGGTTCTGTAGGGGACAAATGTGCATTTAGGCTTGGAATAATGATCAAATAATTAATTTTTCATGTTTTTTGATGATGCCTCTTGTGCTCATCAAGGCCGCATTTATTTCAAAAACACAAAAACAGTAATATTGTGCAATATTATTACAGTTTAAAACAGCAGTTTTCTGTTAAACTGTAATGTATTTCTGTGATGCGCAGCTGTATTTTCAGCATCATTACTCCAGTCTTCAGTGTCACATGATCTTCAGAAATCATTCTAATATGCTGATTTGCTGCTTAAGATATTAGATGTTGAAAACTGTTGTGCTGCCCAATATTTTTGTGGAAACCATTATACACTACCATTTAAAAGTTTGGGAAAATTAAGACGACGTTAAAAGTAACAGTAAAGACATTAATAACGGGGAAAAAAATTTATATTTCAAGCAAATGCTGTTCTTTTGAACTTTAACAACTCAAAAAAGAATCATCATGGTTTCTTGAAAAATATTAGTCATTTTTTCAACATTTATATAAAACCTTTATTAACTCTTTCCCCACCGTTGACAGAATTTTCCGCTTTCCACATTTGGACTGTAATACGGTAGAAGCTCCTACACATCTGCTGAAAGAGTACCGAGCGTCCGGATCAAAGCAGCAGCATAAACAAGTGATCGCATATGTAAACAGATCCATCTGTAAAATAACGCTATTAACACACTTTAATCATTATATAAATCAAAACTGCCCAGTGTTACTGAATGAGATGTTGATCCAGGAGGTGTAGGAGTGTGTTGATGGAAGCGACCGACTCTATCTGTGTGTGGATCATTGCTCTAAATCTGATCCGGACAGAGTCTCTGACAAAACCATGGTTTTCTCTGCTTTTTGTTCTGAATGTTGCTTTTTAATAAAACTTACCCACATTCAAAGTGTTGATAAAAAAAGATTGCACGAAGCTAGAATTTTTTTTTTTGCTGCTGTTTAAAAGCCAATAAAAGGCTCTGATTGTTGTTTTGGCATATTGCATGTTCAGATATTCATAAAACAAAACATTCTCAGTGCCATTACTTTTTCAAAAAACACTGGTGGGGAAAGA